TCCCAGAGGCTCTGATGTCACTCTCAAGGGGGTACTTATAATCACAATTTCTTAGCAAGAGACAAGGTATAGAATTTTAAACAAACAGCAACCTAAGCATTTCAGAATATGTAGGATTCTCCTTTGTGTGATCTTAACTGTTTGTCTTATCTGTTTGTAATCCTATGGACCACTAATGCTTACCTGGTATGAAGTGAAGCACATTTTGGTTGCCGAAGAAGCACCACTTCCAACCATGTGCATGACAAAATGTACCACCTTGCACCACCAGTTTAGCTATCCACAGCTTGTCCTAACTCCCTCATTTCTAGATGCATATGGGCACCAGCCTACCCAAATCTAATTCTATTTGAGACCAAGTTTCCTGCAGATAATTGTTTCTATTGAGCCAAATAAACTTTACCTGCCAAAGGAAAAAATGGAACAGGTCAATGGATTGCTACCTATTCTGGGTAATTTCCATTTCCTAAGCTCTAGCTTCCTGCAGAGTTTAGGCAAGAAGCTGGCAACCTTGACTGCGCTTTGGAATCATCTAAGGGGCTTAAAAAAGATACAGACACTTGGATGCCACTTCCAGAAATTTTGATTTAATTTGTCTGGGTTGCAGCCCGCCTATCCAAAACGTAGTCAGAGTTAAGAACCACCGCCCTAGTTTCAGTCTCCTTATTATGAGCATGGGGTCATAATTACCTCACATACCTCTTGTGATAAGTTCAAGGAGATAATGTGTGACCTTAGAGTCCCTAACACTTCCATTCCTCCTTTACTTCATGAAAGACAAATGAAAAGGAAGGACGAGGGGTTGGCAAGTCTGGGAAGGTGAGGAGGGGGGATACTTTTGCAGAGTTCTTCCAATGAGCAGTTCATTAGGGTTAACAAGCTATCCTTTGTTAAAGCAAACGCTCTTGAAGGATTAAGCCTCATTCTCGCCTTAGTGTGAATGACTTTAATCAGATAATCTCCCATCACCTAGTTGAGGATTTGTTACTGAAAGCCTAGGGCAGGCAAGGAGAGAGAGTTGCAAGGCCAGTTTGGGATTCACTGAGGCAAGCCAGTGAAGCCTCAGCCTCTAGGAAATAAGCTTTCCATAATGACAGCATGAAAAATCTGAACAATAAACTTTCTCCTCATGTTGCTAGGACAATATTTGTTAAAAGTGTTTTTCTGATCAAGTCTCTTATCTGTCTAATAGGCTTTCATGACTTTTTCTGACTTTCTTTCTGCCATGAAGCTCTTAACAAGTGTCGGGTAATTTTACCATTTGCCAGCTGCTTGGGAGTCCGTGAGGAGCACGGCCTTGCCCAGTCCTATCCTCCTTGCCATCTGCTTGGCACATGGTAAGCATGCAGTGTTTGTGGAATTTAACTGAATGGTTTCATTTGCTACAGTCTTTTCCAACTGTGTTTTTTCCCCCACGTCTGTCCCCCAACCGCTAGACTATGAACACCTTGCAGAAGACTTAATAACTTCTTCATCCCTAGTGCCAAGCACAGCCCTTGGCACATAGTCAGCCCTCAATGGCTATATGCTAAATGTATTAAGGAGCAATAGCCAGTGCACTGATGCCTAAGTTAAGATATTAAAATTAATTTGTGACTGTGCTGCTCAGTTCCCGTTCTTTTGGACAAGGCAAAGAGGAAAGAAGAGACAAAGAAACAGATATGTGAAACTCCCACCATTTATTAATGGGACAAATGTTGTTCTTATTCAAAGGTCTCTTTAGAACATCTTTTGAGACATGATTTGAAGGTAATTTCAGGAAACTCAGATAGGCAAGAAGGAATAAGAGGAGCTAACAAAATATCCACGGAGAGAACTCACACAATGGAATGAAGAGAGAGAGATGTGGAATATCATAGAAACCAAAAGAAAGGAACCTCAAGAATACAATGAATAAGTAGATAGAGATACAGCCAACATTTAGGAACATCAACCCTGCTATTGGCATTGTCAAAGATTGGTTTGCCTTTAGAAATAAATAAGACAATGGCCATATTTTTTCATATTTGTTTTCTATATGGAAGAGTGTTACTATGTAGAAATGTTTGGGTTACAGTACATAAAAGAGTTATACCACAATATTTATATTAAAAGCCCTATTAGATACTATTTTTAAAAGATTGCAAGGGAATTCTGGGCTAAATGACAACACAGAATTTTATGAAATGGTAGAAAGTGTTTTACAATATTACGTGTAGTTACATATTATAAGCATAAATAGATAATATGTCAATTTTGATCTTCTGGCTGTATTATATATTTATTTTTATATCTGTTTAATTTATTGAAAGACCACAATTGCATATTTCCTTGTCTCTAATGACAGTCCATAGTAGAAGGTATACATACATCCCAGGTAGAGTGTTTATAAATATATTACACATTAGACAGATGAATTCCAGAGCTTAGGGTACTCGCTGTGAAACACTGTGGGGCAGGAGGCTTGTCCTTGTGTTAGCTGCAAGGCTTTGGTCAAGGGCCAACTTTCCAGCTTCCATTACCTCATGAAAAATTAAGATTACATATAAATGACATGGGGGGTGTCCTTTGTTTTATAAGCTTGTCTTAAAAGATTCAATTTAGAAAATAAATTGCATATATAGTACAATATTAACTATGCTTTTAAAAATGCATTGGAAAAGCCTAGAAGGAAATAAACTGTAATACGAACAGTTTCCTATCTCTGGGAACTGGAAACACCACTGATACAAAAATATTCTACCTTCATTAATTTTGAATTTTCTATATTGTGTTGACACCAAGTAATAAATAAGTCACACACAGACAGGTATACCACATCTCCCTTCCCTCAAGGTACGTTATCTTGAGGATCATGAGTCTTACAGCTTCTCTTCAACTCTGAGATGTAAGGTTCTAACGTTTGTTGTACCCCATTGCTGAGGGTCTTCAACCAAATCACATTCTGCTGCTGGGTCCCCAGCCATTTGCTGCTCGTTGCCCTCCTAGACAGAGCCCACTTTTGGTTTGCTCTCATTCCCAGCAGTGGTGCACGTCATGCATTCTGTTCTGAGATTAGACTATCAGCCTTTACACAGCAGTCAAGAGTTATCCAGTTATCTTTGTGAAAACCAAATTTAGATAACGTTCCATCACTCCACCCCGACCCTTGCCTCTAACATAATCAAACATGTCAATGGTTCCCAGTGAGGAAAAGTATCATGGCTGTAGCTTTGCATTTTGAGTGTGATGAATTTGATTGAGATTCATTTTTTCCCTTTTTCTTAACTGTAAGCTCCTTGAGGTTAGGTCGTTTTTGTTCACCATTGGCTCTCTAGCCCTATGGTGAACTCAGGCCTTAGGGCTCTTGCCATGCAGTCCCACTGCTTTGAATGCTCTTTCCCCAGTTATTCCTCACTTCGCTGAGAACCTTGCCTGCATATGACCAGCTCAGTCCTCCATCCTGTTTCACACAACCTCCTCTCCCAAATTCCCCTAACCTGCTTTATTTTATTTCATAGCGCTTATCTCCATCTGAAATTACCTCATTATTTATCTTTTATTTTTTATTTTTGACTTATTTTTTGTTGCTTCTCTCCCCCTAGTAGAATGCAACCCCTTTGAGGGAAGTGATTTATCTGTGTTGTTCATTTCTGGAACCACAGTACCTAGAATAGGAGTTAGCCATGGCTGATGCTCAATAAATGTTTGTGAAATGAATAGAGTCATTGTGTGAAAGGTGTTTTCTCTATGGAAAGAAGAAAGGAGGGATGAAAAAATAGAAAGAATAAAACAAGGAAAAAAGGAAAGAAGGAAGAAACAGAGGAAGGAAGAACTATACTCTTGGAAATCTAATGTAGCACCTCCTCACATTAAACTGGGGGAACTGTTAGGCCTATTTTAGAGCTGCTTCTTGGCCTCGTTGTCTTTAAGTAAAAAAAAGACAATGAAAATGAATGGCCTGAGAGAGTCAGAAGACACTGATGTCAGTTCTGCTCTGCCATGGTGCCAAGTTCCTTATATAATGCACTCCTCTGGTTTAACAAGGGAACAAGGCCAGATGCTCTCTAACATTCCATTCAATGCTAAAATTCTATAATTTTGAACTTTTAATTTCAAAATGTATTTGCTTACTGTCTCTCTATTGCCAAATCCCAAAATAATGAATTGAATATATAGATTCAACTTTTAGGTAAAATAACTTGAGAAATGCATAATATTTAACTGTTTTAAATTTTACAAACATTTAGTAGCAAAGATACTGATTTTATATATTTTCACATTCATGTGCCATATATATGTTATACATATATTGCATATTATGTATACATATATGTATATTATATGTATATGTATAACATGTATATATAATATTGTATATATATCAAATATATACATAGTATCTATTAGAATACATATTTTTATTTTTAAATAGTGAGCACAAAGAAATTGTGTTGTGTACAAAATATATAAAGGTCTTTGAAGATAAACTAAATTCATGTAATTCTTTTTCTCAAGTATATTTATTCAAATATCTGAAAAAGTTTGAATTCTACAAAAGGTCTCACCTCTCTCCTCAACCCTGTTGTGAAGTTTAATGTGATACATTTAATGCATCTACTTAAACTTGATTCTCCATACAAGAATGTTTGCAACTTTTGATTGCCTTTTAGAGTCATCTTCTCTTGACTATCTATATTTAAATATTGATTAGGAAGCACAGGACATGAGACTAGGTTCTGGTTTTGACACCATCTTTCAATCAATTATTTTTATCCTGGTATAATAAAAATATCATTTTAGAAGAGTATACCTCCTTGAGATATTTTTATTTAGGAGATTTGTGTGGGTAAGTGTGTGTGTGTGTGTGTGTGTGTGTGTGTGTGTGTGTGTCAGGAAAGACAAGTTATATTGCAGAGGCAGTGAGAACTTACTGAGCTATGAATGCGGTATGCAGAAGAAGTAAGTCACAATTCACACAGGCACTCACACACTTACATAGTTACCTTAAATATCCCCATTGGACTGAAAAAGATAAATGCTGCCATTATCTTTATCTTTATTATTGGTAAACAAGGAGCTGATATTATCTATAAAAACCATATCCCTTAACTGTATTTCTCTTGAGATTCATTGGTATAATTAAAACTTGAATGGACTGAAATATTTCTGGAACCTGTAGTGAACACTCTTTCCTTTATCTGAAAATGTAGTTTATTTCACCTGAAATTGTTTTCTATAATTTCCCTCTCCACCCACAAATGACCTTCTTTTTATACTCACGGATATACTCACTTATGAACCTGTGGACTATACACTTCACAGAAATAGGAGTAACTATAATGTTCTCCTGGCACTGAGGGAATATCAATGGTATTCTAAATGAGGAACTATTAACTTTTTATTACTATAATGATTTTTTAGTACTTTCCATAGTTTGAAATGTGGTTAGGATGTTACTGGCAGTTGAAAGCTGACACCATGATTTAATAGTTTTAACATATGATCTGGTGTCTGTTACAGTGTTTTAATATTTTAAATATTATCATTCATGTTATGTTATCAATGATAGTAAATTAGGCCAAATCAGTGGTAATGTAGCTTTATATCACAATTTATTTGGACTCATTTTGAGTTATAGATTGACCATTGCTTTATGAGTTTTCTTAGCCATGTTTTTCTCTGTATCTAATGTAAAATAACATGTTTTTCTCTTCTTTTTTATTTACCAGGATGGTTATTCTACTGTTTCTAACATTAAAGGATCATCCTTGTATTTCTTTGTATTCTGTCATGGAGCAAAAAACATGTCTCATCTCAGTTTCAATTTCTCTTTTGCTCCCAGAAGTTCCCCCCTCCTCCAGTGTTGAAGTAGAAACATAATTTCCCCTTTTGCACCATAAACAGGTTCAAACGTCCTTTGTTTCACCATGTTGCTCCAAACAGCAAATTTTCTAACCCACATGATAAAAGAACACCACAGTTCTAACTTGGAATTCTACAAGGGTTTGAGAACAATTGAAAATAAATTTCTACCACCAGGATTAGTCCTTAGTGGTTTGCAGGCATTCTAAGCAGAGGGGCATGGAAGCCAGCTAGGACACCAACCTGCTAGCAGATGCAAAGGTTGCTCTACTAAGAAGTTAGGCCTTTAATATCATAGACAATGGGAGGCAAAATGAAGAAATTAAAAGGCAAGTAGTAAGCAATTCAGTAGGCTAAGCCAGGGATTTGAGAGTCTCCCAAGGCTCCTCCCTTCCTCATTCCCTGCATGAGTCATTTTTCCAGTCTGTCCACACCCATTCACCCCTCCATCCCACACTCTCATTCACCCTCCAAGCTGCCGTCACAGGAACTTTCTGCAATACAAGTCTAGACTCCATCTCTGGCCCTTGCTGCCTAAACTTTTCTAGCTCATTAGTTTTGACAGTAAAGTTGAGACTTGTTAGATTAACACAGACCTACTTTTAGCGTCATCTCCTGCCACTTTCCTGTACTACCCTCCCCTCGCTTCTCATAGAAAGGCTGAGAAGGCTGGCAGGCCCCTTGTGTATACCCTACTCTTTTCATTTTCTTTGAGACAGGGTCTTTTAATGTCACCCAGGCTGGTCTCAAACTCCTGGCCTCAAGCAATCCACCCTCCATGGCCTCCCAAAGTGCTGGGATTACAGGTGTGAGCCACGCCATCCAGCCTGTCCTGCTCTTTTCTTTTCTCCACCTGGACTCTACTCCCTTTTGATCTTGCCAACTTCTACACATCTTTCAAGGCACCAGTTAAATGTAAATCCTCCAGGAACCCTTCCTTCACCATCCTCAGAGCCCTCGTGGGATTGCTTCCAACATCATAGCACTTATCCCTTATGCAGAATTAATTGGTTTGTCTCTCACCTAGTAGAGGTGTTATCCTTGAGTGTAGGGACTGTCTTATCCATTCTTGCATCACTGGCATAGTAGGCATTAAATGTAGTTGCTGAATGCTTAGTAAGAGGAATGGAAGTCTTCATAGCTTGGGGTAGTTACTAATGGGCAGATAGAAAGTCCCCATTCCTGTTCTCTGAGAAAGTGTCAGTGTTCTTTTAGTTTGCTAAAACTGTGTGGGTACTTGAGTCCTTTTAAACCATTAACTCTGGGAAGAGGCACCATTTAATTAACTATTTGTTCTGGAAGGGCTCAGTGTACAATTTTAACTCAGTGCTTTGTGGATCTAGCTAAAGGTCAAGAACTCAAGTCGGCTGTTAGTGCCTCTGGAAGGTATTTCTGCACTTTAGCACCTTTCTGATGTTTTTCCTTCACCGCGAGCTGGCCTCACTTTCTTCAACACAACCTAACCTGCAGGAAGAATGTTGTACCATATCCAGCATTTTTGTCCCAAATTGTGTCCCAAACATGGGACAAACGTTTTTCATTAGAATCTTCGTTGCACAAGTTATCCGAATTCCTTACATTCAAAGGAAATCCTGCCCCCAATCTCCAAAACTTCATCATATCACAGACGTTCAGCATTCTTTCCATTCAAAGCGAAGCCAAGTTACATCTTACAGCACCCAGTGAATTATGATGTGGGGCTGTGGTTTATTTGCTCTAGCGACAATATGGCTTACTTGCTGTGGAATATCGCGGTATTTCAGAAAGTAATGTATTATTTTTAAAGAGGGAGCTTTGCTTTCTCTAAATCACATGGTGTAAAGTTGGAAATAGAGTGGCTTGTAAATTACAAATATTATTTACAAAGTAGAAGGAAAGCTGACATATGAGTGTTTGTGCTTGTGTGACAGTTTCACTAAGGATTTCCAAAACTGGACAGGCTGTACAGTGGCAATCTTGAAGATGTTTTTCCCGCCTGTTAGCCCTCCAGGTTCAAAAACTGTTTGGTGCATTTTAAGGCGGCAGTCTCATCAGATCGCAGGATTCTAGTCTAATCGGCTTCTAACCTTCAATCTAACCTTGCCGGCTTCCTTGTAAAGCCCGGTGCAAGGGCCTCTTTCAAAACGAACCCACTAGTGTGTCGAGCTAGTCGGTAGAAGTAAGTAGCTGGAGGGCGTCCGGTCTGCACGCCCGCCGCGAGGTTACAATGTTGAACGCATGAGATGGAAGATACCAACGGGAGGCCGAGGGGATCCACGGCGCCCGCGCGGGCTCCAGCTTCCTCCTGCTCTCGGCGCCGCGGGGCAAGCACCCATCACCCGCCTTTGCGGACTCTGTCCGGTTGACAGGCGACCCTGGGGCCCGAGGAAGCGCGGGAGGGCGCCAGCCGAAAGTTGAAGAGCGTTTTCCTCGCCGCCGCGTGCATTAGGAGCTCCACGAGTCCGCCCTGGGCTTCCTGGTGGGGCTGGGCGGGCGGGGGAGGGGCCGCGCAGCAGCAGCGGAAGCCAGACCTCCGCGATAAGAGGCTGCACAGAGACATGCAACAGTCTTTTCACTGCAGCTGAGTGAGTTGTAGCGCCCACAATGCTCCCGTGACAAGGAGCTGACAAGTTCCATTTTCCGTCGCGGGCATCTTGGAATCATGACTCCCACAATGCCTTGGGCATTCGGTCGACAGTCGGGCCGCCTCTGAAAAAAAAATGTGAGAGGTAAGTTTCCATTTTCACAGTTTCCCCGCGCGGGTCCGCCGCGCTTCATTGTTCGGACTCCGGCGGGGCTGCCGGTGGTTGAAGGAGGAAGTGCGAGGAGGTGCTCGCCGGCCGCGGTTCTCCCGGGCAGGGGCGGGCCGCGCGCGGTGGTTGGTTTCGCGTCCCTCAGCACCTCCTGCCCGGGGGAAGGCGGGAGGGTGAGCCGCAGCCGCTCCTGCGCCCTTCCCCGCCGTGGGCTCTGCGGACGCTGTCACGGCGCAGCCGGCGCACGGCTTGGCAACCCAGCGGGACCCAGTGAGAAACAGTGGGGCGAGAAGAGAAACAGGTGCGTGCAAGTGTACTCACAACTTAATGGTCTTTGTCGGGCGAAGGTGCGAGTCCCTCCGAGGCGAGCGGCGCGCGGGTCCTCCCGGCGGCTCACGCATCCCTGGCCCCGGGGCTGCCATCCCACCCGGTTTTCATCTGGGCCAAATATGTGCACGCAAAGGTTAATTCTCTGCCTGCTACCCATAAATTACGCATGACATGTTTAGCTGGGCTGCCTTATATGGAGAGTGCTGTATTTCAGGCCAGTTTGCCTTTTGCCAAGTTTACAGGGCGGAAGACGCCCTGCAGGAGAGGGCTGCCTCCTCCTTTTCTTCTTCTTCTTTTTTTTCATCGTTTTGCAGTGCGTCACTCAAAAACTGTAAGAAAAGTAAGTATAGAAGCTCTTTGGGTGGAGCCGCAGTTGTTTGATTGAATTGCTTTCATGAAAGGTTGAAAAGAATGAAAAGTAGTTAGTACTTGGGTTCTGGTTTTTAGACAAAAGCAGGACAAATATGTAGCCCCCCCCCCCCTTTTTTTTTTTTTT